AAAAAAAAAAAAAAAAGAAAACGAGTAGCTGTACATAAGAATTAGAAAGCACAAACAAATCATGCCTAAGATATCGTGGATTGAAGGCCGCCTCCTTTAATGAACTGAACTAAAAACCCGAACAGATGTCTAAATGAAAACTACGATGACTATTTAGGCAATTTATATATTAGTAGACGATCCTCGTACAGGACTTTCTCCCTAAAACGCGTCTGCAAAATTCACCTATCCCACATGGCTTGAAAAACGGGATGCCTGTGTTTCAACCAATGAACCATCTCCTTGTCGATTGGCGCCTTGTGTAGAACCGAGTCCAACATTGGGCTCCCGACAATTTTCAGAGAGCTCTTGAACAACCATATTCGATCCTTGGGCCACGCTCTCTGGGGCTGTTTTTCCTGGTGACAAGACGAGAAAAACCAATTTTAGTTGGACTTGGACCCGTCGAATATCTTTTTGCAAAATATTTCTTGTTATTTTTATTTGAAACGCCACTAGTAGTTTTTTGTAATTGTCGTTTAATCCATTAAAAAAAATGGCGAGCAGTAGAGAAGAAAAATGTTTATTTTGCCCGACTCGAATTACTGTAGGCAAAATTGCATTTTTAGTCTGTTGGTTTAATGCCGTAGCAATTTTAGCCCCAAGGTTCTAGCATTTCACTTTTTGGTCATGTGATTAATATTTTGTTACAATTCAAGACTGAAAATTGCAACATATTCTCATATTTTATTTTAGCAATTTAAGTTAATGTAATTTAAATTTTGTTGCATTTTCAGTCATGCGACTTAATATTTTGCTGCAAAAGGACTGAAATTGAAAGTAAAATATTAAATCGACAAAAAAGTTGGAACTTTGAGACTAAAATTGCTATGCCGTTAGATCAACATGACTAAACTATGGAAACTATATGAATAAATCAAAATAAGATGAGAATGAAAGAAGAACTCACCATCCTAGAGAGCATAAACTTGACGGTTCTTGGACCATAAACACGTTGGCGTGATGGCTTCTGAGCTCTCGCGTAAAACGATCCAACTTCCGGTAAGGACAAACAACCCCTACTTGCTTTGGCCAGCGTGGCATCCGGTTCGGCATTTTGACTATGCCAAAACATCAGTTGACCTAAACAATACGTCTCACCATAGGTTTTGCAATATTCATGAACACCAGAACCCAACTTATCAGCATACTTAGGGCCGATGTCGAGCGGGGTAATATAAACAGGTGGAGAAGTCACAGCCTTGTATTCCTGCAAGTTGTTTGTGGAATAAGCAAATGAGAGAGAGAGAGAGAGAGAGAGATCCAAATTCTAAATTTCAGTTCAATGAGAATAAAATACTCACCCTTATTCTGAAAAAGTATTTGGTGTAAGCATATATGTGTATCAAATCAGCAGCAGCATCATGCCGGCTTTTATGTGTACAAGGAATGTTCCGCAACTCATCCCTCAACCTGAAAAATGTAGAAGTATCGTATGTATTATACACATAAAATTGAGAGGATTAATCTTTGGTCGTGCTGATTATTATTACCATAACAAAGATTTCCGAAGCTTCATGTCGGCATCTTCAGAGCAAGAAGGATCATGGGCTTGAATCTTAGCCTTGAAATCCCTCAAAGTCAAATCATCCGTATGAGGTGCAATACACTGGATAAGTTCCTCCACAAACGAGCCTTCTCCATGCCAGAGATGAGAAGCTGCTGATTCAGGGCTCAGCCTTTCCAGTGGAGGCGGGGCGTTCTTTGGATCACCAAAAACACATCTCATAACATACCTTACCTGCATGAGTTTTTTCAGAAATATAGAAATTTTCAGTTATACTTGCATATTCTGAGAAACTATGGGAATTGAAAAATGAGTCCATATAAAATGTTCTTAAAGAGGAGAGCAACTACCTTGTCGATAGTAAGAGCCAAATTCTGAAGCCTCTGATTGTACACACCCTCAGCCTGTAAAATTAAAAGCAAGTTAAGAGATGTTACAAAAAAAACTGTTTAATCAAAAAGCTACCACAGAAGAGAAAGCAAGCAAGCAAAAGTTTTACAGAGAGGATGTAGCACATACCTGAATTTCGGCATCACTCTTTTCAACGTCCAGTTGTATTTCAGCAAAATACCTCTTTTTCTCCTCTATGTTATGCCTAAGAATCTCACTGGGGAGCTTTGTCCTCTCATAATTTATAAACCTCACCTACACCATAGAGACAAGTAATTATCAGGAAACAACAGTTTTTTTTTTTTTTTT